TTTTGAAAGAGATTTCATTAGTTTTAGGATATAAAGGTATAAAATTTTTTTAGTGATTTTTGTTTAAAGGATTTCAGATTTCCACTCACGCCTGACCAGATGTGCTTCGCGTTCATGTAGCAGCTTGAATTTTATAATTTTTGTTGTTTTATTCTTTTTTATCCTTGGTAAGTAAAATTTCTTATATACTTTTTTAGGGGACTGATTATCTCTGAACGACGCACTAACTTTGACGGTGATGCTTTTGAGGTTGCTTAAAAAGATAGCAGATTTCTCGCTTATTATGATTTAGTTCAGTCCTTTCTTTTCTACTTAAATTTTTCCTTTTGACTCATAATATAACTTTATCCATCTGGACACAGTCCCATCGAATCCGTTTCGAGCTCATATTTACTGGTCCTTACGATTTTCTATACTTTTTTCTGATTTCCCGCATAATCGATACAGCTTTCGGTTTTTCCGGTTATTTCAGTGCACCGATTAGTTTCAATCCTTGACTTTTTTATTTATTTTTGAGGTAGCTTTTGAGTTCTGTTTGTCTTATTTCTTAATTTCAATAATGTCAGAAACGATGAAGCGAACTAAAACGTTTCTAGCGGATTTACCCCCAGAACTGTTTTAAATGAGGAGGGATTGTGGTTCCAAGTGATTAACTTGAATATCTTTGCTCACTTTTTCAAGCTTATGTCTTAAATCTCGGTATTCACTTTTTTCAAGCTTGTGTCATATTTGCTTTCATTTCCACTGTATTCACTTTTGTCCTCCTTCTGTTTTCACTTTCTTTCGCTTCGTTCACTTTTGTCCTCTTTCTGTAAAGCACTTTGTTCCTGTATTTTAGAGCCTTTTTTACTGTTTTCTTTTTTGCCATTGCAGTTATGCTGCTCACTCTGTACGTATACGTTTACTTCGATTAGTTCCACTTTAACTGTGTCCCTCAGTTATGTAGCTGGCAACTTTTCTGGTCCCTTTGACCATTGTTGCCTTTCTGCTAGCGATCCTGACGTTTGTTACACTTCCCAAGGGTATCGCGGCTTGTGCTGTCAGCAGACACTTTTTCTGCCTTTCTTATCTTCACTATTTCTCGGGCCTGTCTTTTCATTTTGTTCTTGACTTTTCAAACTTTCCACTAATTTTAGTCGGTGGATATTGCTTATTTCATATGTTCCCATATTTTTTGCACAATACGTTTTGTACAAATGGTTGCTTTTTTATTGTTTCATCTCTTGTTGTTTGAAATTATAGACTCGCTTTGCTTTAGAATTATATGTTTTTGAGGAGCTCTCTTTCCCTTCTACGAAAAATTATATATTGCATCCGAAAATTTTGCATTTTTCCTGCGTCACACTTTGTTCAGTTTTCTGCGCTTCTGCATAAAGCAGAAATCCATGTTGTTGTTTGTTC